AGGGTACGTGTTGTTACCCTGCCTGGCGCGCGGCATTAAGGGGCAAAAACAAGGACTGGTCGGCTCGGAGTCAGTATACTGTGTCTGAGTAGGGTATAAACCCGGATGCAACTTGTTGAAAAAGGTGTGTGTGTCTGTGTGTCTGTGTGTGTCTGTGTGTGTGTGTGTGTCTGTGTGTGTCTGTCTGTCTGTCTGTGTGTGTGTGTGTGTGTGTGTGTGTGTGTGTGTGTGTGTGTGTGTGTGTGTGTGTGTGTGTGTGTGTGTGTGTGTGTGTGTGTGTGTGTGTGTGTGTGTGAGTATATACACATGCTCTGATGCTGACTGCCGCAGACTCCATGTGTAGAGACAGGTCGTGTTGACAAGCGGGCGAATGGGGTCGTTACTCTGTGTATCTACACATACCTGTACACACACTTCACCTGGCGCGCAGATGTTAGACTTTACATACATCTCACACTTCGCCCTGTACAGCGCCGTCACACTAACCTGGTTTATCCGACACAGCGGGTTGTCAGCGGGTTGTCCGTCTATCACGGACAGAGACTCCCCATCACGCTGCGAAAGACGGCGGAACAAGACACGCAACAAACCAGCTATTTCTCCTTTGTAGCCTCGCCCTTTCTTACCAATAGAAAAAACAAACATCATTTGTGCTAAGAAAGGTCATTTCAGGAATTTCTAACCAACGTGGCCGAAAGGTGTTTGGCAAAATATTTTGTAGATCACACTTTGCCTACTTAGTTGCTGTAGAAAATGAAATAAAATATATAATACCTATAATTTTCCTCTAAATAATATCTAAGAACAAACAGAGCAAAAAAGCCCTAACCCTTTTTTCTAACCAGCATTTCTCTTTTTATCGTTGTGATAAAATTTAATATATTTCTATTAATCGTTTTTGGTAAATGTCTGCAGCATGGAACATTTCTTAAAATAAATTATTTCTATTTTATATTTACAATTTTATGTACTTGTGATTATGTGTGTGTGTGTGTGTGTGTGTGTGTGTGTGTGTGTGTGTGTGTGTGTGTGTGTGTGTGTGTGTGTGTGTGTGTGTGTGCGTGCGTGCATGCGTGTGTGGGGTACATATAGCTGTTATTTAATGTAACTCTGTTTGATGCTAGGCAAATTCCCACTTTGGTAATAAACACATAAAAGCAAGTCAGCTGTTCACCTTGAGATATGGCACACGTTAAAATAGGGAATTGCATTTGACATAATTTTTGTCACTGACGCGTCAAATTTGGAAATGTTCTCCACATGTCGACCATATCACTTTTAGAAAGCTTTATTAAGGCATTGAATGTTGTAACCGTCGTATGACCCTCTTCCAAATCTTCGAAGAAAGAGCATTTTCGATCGAACCTCAAAACAGTTTTGGAATGAAGACACCAACGGCTAGAGCTGCTGGGATATTTGAATAGTAGTCTCTGAAAATGCATGTATGTTCCTTCCTTTAACGACATCATATCCGTTCACATTATTTGGATTTTAGTGGGTTTTTTAACCAACAGGAAATATTGTATGAAATTAGTAAAATATTCTCCTTTGAAGGCTCAGAGTTGAAAATGTGTAAATTTAACTTATGTATTGTAACAACGTTCTACAAATTTTAAGTGCATTCAATCTTGTAGATTGAAATAAAACAATGTTATTGTTTTATACTTTTGGGATCAGTATTTATGCAGAATCTGAATAGCAATGCTGATAGCAACTTTTGTTAAGTGTCAGATGACTACATAAATTCCCCAGGTTAGCTACAGTGCAATGGCACTATTTCTCAAACGCTTAGAAGATGTCGTAGTTTTTATCAAACGCAACGGAAGTGTAGAACTATTTCACACCGGAAGAACATTGAGGTTTGGTTAAACAGAGAACAAGAGATTGTTTATTCAATTCATAATGTGTCGTTTCCTCGAAAGTAACACGAATCAACATTTTATGGCATCGGGCGGGATATGTTTCTTTCAAGTAAAGAAGCAACATGAATATCGTACATTCATACTTCATAGGGGACACGGCTGGCCCAGTCGTCTGAAGCGCCACTATTTGGGTGCAATGTTGCGTTCCTTGGGAACACCTATGATTGTGGGTTCGAATCCCGGTTCGCCCCGATTATGTTTCTTGGTCTGTTAGTACCATACCCGTGCTTGTGGGTTTCACCGAAATGGTAAACATCTGAGACCTGCATCATTTGGGGCTTCCCTCTCACATCAAGCTGACACGCCGTGATATAACTTGAATACTGTTCAGTCAATGGAGAGTTAAACCGAACTCACTCCCTCACTCATACTTTATAAAGTAGCGCTAAAAAACTAAATAACTTAATAAATTTTAAATGAAAGTGTTGTTCAAATCAAACAACGATCCAGTTATTGACGACCATTATAAGAATAGAGACGGTGATTGTTTCCTGGCATTATAAATCCTTGTCATACCAGAGGTCATTAACAGTTTAACACATTTAATAGTGAGCAGAGATGGCTCCCACATGCAGTTGCAATAATTACATTTTCACACGTGTACATATACTCTTTATACGTGGGAAGAAATTTGTCTCGTTCGAGAGGAGGAATCAAAACATACAACGCAATATTGTAAGAAACCGAGCACCATCATAATAAACAACCCCGAGATTCCGGGCAAGACCAAGTGCCAACCACATTGGGGGACCCAGGTGTCAGGCTCTGTGGCATGTCGTCGTACCCCGATGACGTAGTTCGTTGCTCACGTCTCTATCACTGATTTGCCGGTCAAGACTCAATCATTTACAGAGCATCGTGATATTACGTAAACAGTGCTTACTGCAGTGTTAAACAATATACATTCGCTCAGTCATGACAAGCAAAATATATTCTAGTCATGACACATGTGCATCCTTGATTGGCATTAAGATTATATACATAGAAGTCAGCATTTTATTTCGGAGAAATGAATGACCTGTTTCAGGTTTGCGGTGTAATTGTGCATTTAATGCCCGTAAATTTTATTTGGAATCGACAGCTTTGTGGATTTTAATGCCCGTACTCTTTCATCAGACGTATTGTTTGTTTGTTGTTTAACGCAGCACTTAACGCAATATTCCAGCTATATGACGGCGGTCTGTAAATATTCGAGTCTGGACCAGACAATCCAGTGATTGACATCACGCGCATAGCTCTACGCAACTAGGACATGATAACATGCATCAAACAAGTCAGCGAGCCTGACCACCCGATCCCGTTAGTCGCCTCTTACGACAAGCATGGGTTGCTGAAGACCAGTTCTAACCCGGATCTTCACGGGTCTAGGCTTATTGAAGCAGGTGCCACCACAACACGTGACCTTAGGCGTGAGTTGGACATAACAGCGATAGTGGAGGATAACAGTGTCTTGTACGTCAGTTTATTAAGCTGCGTCCTGACGCGTCAATATAACGCGGACAGTTGACAGAGAGGACGCAAATCGCAGACGTTTACCACTGGAACCAATGAGCATGGAATACTGCCGCCGGAAGAGGAACAAGTAACATTGTAAACAAGCGAGCGGAAGTGGTGGGTTGGACGGTCCGGAACAGTGCCATCTAGCGGGTTAGTTCGGGGGTATAATTTCAAAAAAGATCGCCCATTGGATATTTTAGTCAGTTTTCACCAACGTTCATGTTATATTACAGCTGATGCCACTTACACGTGCTGTCTCGTGGTCAGGCTCGCTGACTTGGTTGATGCATGTCATCGTTTTCCCATTCCTTGGATCGATGCTCATGATGTCAACCACTGGATTGTCTTGTCCAGACTCGATTATTTACAGACCGTCGTCATATAGCTGGAATATTGTTGAGTGCTGCGTTAAACAACAAACGAACAAACAAACTTCTATCTCAGGTGCTCTCACATGCTCACCCTGGACTGTTCATAGACCGACTTCACATGTACATTACGATGTGGACATCATTTACTTCCAAAACGCCTTAAAACCATACACATTCGTTCACTGCGAAAGGTGTGGTAATTAGATTTACTTAAAGTGGTTTGAGCTGTTTTTTGGTTATAATTATTTTTATTTTTTGTTTCACATACTCATGACTGATTTTAAGTTTCAGCCTGTATTGTCCAAGCAACCAATTAACCTGTCGAACCATCCCGATAATTCATCAGCAACATCCTAAACTTACGTGTAAATGCACATCCGAATGGTAAAGTAATAAACGGCAATGCATTGGAACAGCTATATTAAAGAGAAAGCCAAACCCGTTGTGCATACAATCATTGCGGGATGAAAGAAACCCACATCGATATCCGGTGCCGTTTGCTAACGAATTTGTCTACGCAAATACACCTCGTCATTGTTATTGAAAATTACCACATCCGTCGAACTCTCTTTGGTCTGCGGCAATGTCATTAATACCAGACTTAGACATCAAAGTCCAGCAAATAGCATTCTCGTCACGACCGAGACAGGCACTTCAACGTTCTGCAGTACAGTTGAATATTGGTATGCAATATTACCTGAAGCTTAGGGTTTGTATTGTCAATATATACCATGCCGTGTAACTAATCACAAAGAATATGAAACGCAGGACACAGCACAATCGAGGCAATGAATGGGGAACTTCTTTCGGGATGATTGTACTGTCGTGATCAAGAAGGGGAGGGGAGGGGGTGGTGTGGGGGTGTTGTGGTGCAGAGTTGCGCCCCTTGGTTGGCACGCTAGAAACATATGATTGTGGGTTCGAATCCCGGTTCGCCTCTTTTATGTTTCAAGGTTTGTATGCATCATACCCATGCTCGTATTTTTCACCGAAGTGTTAAACGCCTGAGTCCTGCCTCACTTTCCTCCAACATTGAGCTGACACGCCGTGAGATAACTGGAGCACTGTTAAAAGCGGCGCGTTAAACCGAACTCACTCATTCACTCGCAGTGAAGGTTTGATATGTTCTAGTAGAGCACTTATGTACACATAGGCATGGTTTAATGGAATTTGATGTCCAAGAGAAAGAAATGGTAAACATGATATCTTCGACACTATTTGTTTAAAATTTATTGTTGCAGTTACGTGTAAATGCTACGAACATATTGATTGCTACAATTATCAGTAATATTGCCGGTTCCTATCGGAAGTGGTCATGAAAAACTAATGGCATTTTGAGATAATAAACAAGTCTCTGAACCAGTGGTTTAAATACATCAGAAAAGAGATTGAAAAAAAAGAACAAATATGAATTCGTCAGTACATTACATGAGTGAGCAGCTTTCGATGATACAAAGCAAAATAGCTTCATGTGATTACAGTACTTTGCTCTTGCCAAGTAATCCTGTAATCTGCCCTTTTCCAAATATCAATTTGGCTAAGTGATCATATACTACATGCGTGTTCAAAGTGCTATGAACGTCTATATGTTCATGTCGTCTGCCGAAACGACCACATCATGTCTAATGGAAGGACTGTCAACTAATCTCTCATCCCCCTCTCTTATGTCCGACCAATCATTGGTCGATTGCCCACCATAACGGCCATATTGCATCATGGGAATTAGCAATGCCCGACCGCTTCCTTTCCGCTCGCCCTTCTTGTTCCCAGGACTACAACAACCCAGATTCTTAAAAATCTGCAACTTTGGGGATTTGGCATTGCTTGCATCACACCTTTCTTCAAAAACTTCATCATCGCTTGGCTTTGAAGTAAGCGGCTCTGTCTTGGCCTTTAAATCCTTCTTTTCCAAGATGGCGGACGAGGTCGTCTGCTTTCTCTTGACGCACAAAACACAGTAGACCAGACGCCAAATCCTGGTAAAAAGCTCCTTCCTGAATAGTATGTAAACCCAGGGGTCAAGGATTTGATTCAAACAAGCCAGACGGATGGCCCACAAATCCGCAGCGTGGTTAACTGGAAACTTCCCTGTTTGATTGATAATTACCCGCACCTGAAAAGCAAAGAAGAAAATACTCATGTACCAGGCAGACACTTCATGTTAAATGTCACAAGTGCTGTTGACCCATTTCTAACCAGCACATAAGCTAACACGAACACTTCCGTCAAAACGGAGGACAGAAACTACCTCAGTAACATTTAAACATATAAACAAACATTTTACTGCATAAACATGAAAGACCCTTGTCGATGTAGACAAACAATACGAAATGCCAATGTTTTAACCTTTGCACTCTTTAAGTAAAATAATGGTCGAGCTGTATACCTGGTTACCGTAGAAGGAGTTAAAGGTCATTTGGTAAATCTTTGTTTATGTGCTGCTTCAGGGTACTTTGAGGTCATTAGGTTGAAATTTAAGGACATGTGATAAACACTATTACATATATTTATATATGTAAATTAATTTACAATTCGTGATATAAACTAGAATACTGGTAAACGTCTGAGACCTACATCACTTCGGGCTTTCCTCCCACATTAAGCTGACACGCCGCGATATAACTGGAATAATGTTAAAAGCGGCGGTAAACCCAACTCACTCACTCACTCCTAAGTTGTTCAGCAGTACATAAAACAGACGTGGACACGTGACACAGTTACAGATATTACAATTTGGTTTAGCAGTTTGTTAACATAAGGTTACATCGATCTTTAAGTGGTTCGATTTTGTCCTCTGAACTTCCAGTTTCAAGAAACGTTTGTTTGCGAATTTCGTTATATGCACGTTGTTATTGTATATATCGTTATGACAAACCTTTATTTACCTTCTGTGTAAAATATACGAAAGAATGTCCATCAAAGTGTATTTTAGATACATTTAACTGTACAAAACTGCTACGGTAACATGTCCCCTGTGGGGATGGATTCCTGTCTAGAAATGGCCATCAGCATCCCGTGTTGATCGTAAGAGGCGACTTACATTGTAATTGATCTGGTCGTCAGGCTAGGTGACTTGGTTGGTAGTGTGTTACCGTATCTCAACTGCATTAGAATGGATTGGTATGTTATCACCTACTTCACAATGTAACATTACTTTATCTGAATACATTTCGGATTTAACGCATTAATTTTACGGTCCAACGAAGTAACTCGTATCCGGATTTAACTGTGCATACAATGAAACGATAACGATTATTTTGAAGTCCTGTGTTCTAGTCTTAATTCCCGTCCTAACAGCAGATTTAATAAGGATTGGGTGGGTTCTTTGTGGGACCTGGTTGTCTGTGTCATTGCGCCCCAACGGAGTGAATCATTAGTCACACTTAGCTGTAAGGGGTATCGAGTGAGTGAGTGAGTTTTGAGTTATATCGTCAATAACTGTTTGATTTGAACAACACTATCATTTAGAATTTATTCAGTTAATTAGTTGTTAGCGCTGCTTTTGACTGCAATGGAATATAAAGTATGAGTGAGGGAGTGAGTTGGGTTTAACACTCCATTGATCAGTATTCCAGTTATATCACGGCGTGTTAACTTGAGAGAGGGAAGTCCCAAGTGATGCAGGTATCAAATGTTTACCATTTCGGTGAAACCCACGAGCACGGGTGTGGTGCTGACAAACCTAGAAACATAATCGGGACGAACCGGGATTCGAAGCCACAATCATAGGTTTCTGGTGTACCCAAGGGACGCAACTCTGCACAGCGAATTGCGGCGCCTTAGACGACCCCACGTAAGGTTGCATTCCAGAAATAATACCATTGGCTGCATGGTCAAATGGGTATAACTTAACAAATTTAGATTTTACACTTTTATTAAAGTTCGTAATTGATTCCTTGTAAATATAACAGCAGAGCTGATCAGATCAACTGGTTAAAAACACACCGCACAATCTGTACAATCATCGTTTGGTGTCACGTCTGCAACATAGCAACGTGTTATGGCTACAGTCTTGTTTCAGACTAGTATCGTCCACGTGCATGCTTGACGGCCACGTGTAATTCCACGTTTGAATACGTTGCAGCCGACGCCAATGGTGCTGAACAACGTCTGCACTCGGAGAATAGACGATGGTAAAATACCAAGGCATGAACGCCTATGTCCTTTCTGTATTGTGCCATCTGTCGAAGATGAATTCCTTTTCTTCCTGATCTGTCCATTCTGTACAGGATTACAATCCAATATTCTTCCAAAATACTGTTATATTTATCCAACAAAAAATATTCTTGAAAACTAGGAGATCGCTGTTGGAAGCGAAAGAATACACGCTAGTCAAGTAACAAAAATGGCTTTTTGCGATTGATGAGTTAAATAAGAAATTTACAGTTTAAAACGAAACATTTTCGAGAGAATAACAAACGGCAAGACGTGATATTTACTCCATAAATGACCATCTGTCATTATTTTGCCTTGTCAATGTGGAACTAACGTAAAAAGGACGTCAACAGTTAGTGTACGGGCTTGACACTTACGATAAAGGGAGACAAGTTAAGGCGAGGTAACTCTTGTATGATATTAGTTCCGTCAAAGCGTTATGTTCACTGCAATGAAATATCAAGTCTTATGTTCACTGCAATGAAAATGTATACTTTTACTTTTATATAAGTATATAATAGAGTCAAATTATCTCATCTATGCCATATGCATGTGTGTCTATACTTATGCACACAACGCTCTTATCAATCGAAGTATAATCATGCTATGTACATGTATAATGGGTCGGTGACCCTTTACATGATTAAAAAGAATAGCACTGTCACTGGACTGGGCGTGGTCGTGTTTGGAGAGGTGCCGAGGACGTAACTCCGACGTCGACGTGATGGTATGGGCTGCGGTCACTCAAGCGGTGACGCCATGATCATGATAGGGACATAGACATTTCTGCCGTGACAGATTCTGCTACCTTTGAAAATGTACGTGACCGACATGGTGGGATTGTGACTGAGTACTTGCATCAGCAGACTATCTCCACTGGCAGCGAGCCCCGATATTTCTCCCATTAACAACTGTGCAACATGATCGAAAACGTTGCCGTCAACAGCCTCAACGTGTGTGATGAAAAAGAGCCCTGATTAGCACTAGTTCATCATGTCCTTTCAAAGAATGTTTGTTGAATCCAGTGCACATCACAAATGGACACACATGTAAAGTGGATTTTCAGAATGGACCTTTGGTGACTACCCATGCTTGCCGTAAAAGGTGACTGTGCTTGTCGTAAAAGGCGACTCACGGGATCGGGTGGTCAGGCTCGGTGACTTGGTTGATGGCGTGTCATCGTCCCCGACGGCGTGGAGCGCTGATCGTAAATATATCGGTCACTGGAATGTCTGGTCCAGACTCGATTATTGTCAGACCATCGTCATATAGCTGGAATATTCCTGGAGAGCGGCGTAAAACAATTTTGGATATGTCTACCATAAACAATTTTGAAAGCGTTACTAAGACCTAGAATGTTGCAACTCTTGTTGCAACAACATTTATGTCTACCATAAACCATTTTGAAAACATTTCTCGATTATTTCTAGACCATCGTCATATAGCTGGAATATTGCTGGAGAGCGGCGTAAAACAATTTTGGATATGTCTACCACAAACAATTTTGAAAGCGTTACTAAGACCTAGAATGTTGCAACCCTTGTTGAAACAACATTTATGTCTACAATAAACCGTTTTGAAAACATTACTAAGGTCTAGAGTGTTGCAAGCCTTCTCGCAACAACATTTGAACAATAGTCGTATAAGACTCTTTGAAATCTCCGTAGAAAGAGCATGCTCGATTGTACTCAAATGTTGTGAATTGTAGACACCAAAGGCTAGAGACTCGATTATACAGCCCGTCCTGATTTAGCTCTAGTTGTGTTCACTGCATCATAATGTAACTAAATCGCTCCCTCATTGTCACGTGTTACGTTAAAGTAAACAACTTTCTTATTGTAACATTTAAGTAACTCTTCTCACATGAGGCATATGCCAAGGCTTCATATTTTTAATTCTATTGTCAAAACAAGTACATTCATCCATGTGTACGGGATATATTCTTTAGTATATGTTCATGTCATACACTTATATTGTTACATTTTCAATTACAGTTATTTGCTCGCTTAAATGTTTCCCGACTTCAAAAACGGAAGTGCAACAACAGTATGTGGAAACTTTGTCTGAATGCTATATGAACCACATGCTGGGTCCTCACGCGAGCAAAATGGAAGGGGAAAAACATTAATTTTGTAAATTTTACTGCAACTCTTTTGACATTCCCCGGAGCTTGTGAATTAAATAAACAAAGCATCTTTCGAGTACTCAAGGATAGTTAATTAAATAAAAACATTAGGAGTATTGTTATCCGACAAAATGAAACTTACTTTATGTTTAACTGTATGAGTGAGTGAGTGAGTTGGATTTAACGCCGCTTTTAACAGTATTCCAGTTATATCACAGTGTGTCGGCTTAATGTGGGAGGAAAGCCCGAAATGATGCAGGTCTCAGACGTTTACCGCTTCGGTGAAACCCACGAGCACGGGTATGGTGCGTAACACTATGATCCTATGAAACTAACTTTACCATGGTTTGTAGATAGTTATAGAAAGACGGATAAAGGACTTTGGTGAACATGTGTGCGTCCGTGCGGGCGTGGTGCTTAGTGGGAAGGAGTAAAGTATCCACAAATGAAGCACACACAAGTTGATATGTTACGTTATGCAATGTGTGCTGTTTTCACGACGACCACGGATGAAATCAATATATCATTACGTCAAAGATTCTATGAAACGTATTCTCGTTTCCTATTTCTAATTCGGTCTCTCAATAACGCTGCTTAGATCCTATGAGTAATTGAGTATGTGTATGGTTTAACACCGCTTTAAGCAATATTCCAGCAATAACACGGCTGGGGACACCAGAAATGGGCTTCACACATGGTACGCGTGTCAGGAATCGAACCAAGGTGTTCGACGTGACGTGCAAACGCTTTAACCTCTAGGCTATCCCACCGCCCCTAGGTCCAATGGAACAATAAGACTACATGCAAATTGTCGACTTCATTTTACATGTGTTCATACACAAACTTGTAGACTCGGTAAAGCATATAGATATTTTAAACATGACTATACCAAGATTAACGTTGTTGACCCAAATTAGCACACGGTCATGTGAAAGCCTAAACATCCTATGACAAAGTCCTTTTCCGAAAACAACCTTACACAGATATATGGGGTATCTGCTCCAACGGGACAGGCAGTGGCATGCAACAATTTCGACAAGACGTTCCTCCTGAATTACAAACACAGGGACATAAGTGTGATTAAAAATATCTGTCACATACTTTGCTGTGAACAAAACACTTAAGAATGTTTACTATGTCACTCCAGCCAAACACGTGATTAACCACGTGCAAACAAACATTTTCATTGGTCAGGTTACGCCCGAGGTAACCAATGAACAAGCCGATGTCAAGTGTAAAAAGTCTGTATAATTGGAGGAACCTGCTATTCAAGGACGGTCGCTAATTTGACTTTTAGGCTTGAAAAAACCCATTTACGTCACAGCAAACAAAACGTGGATAAACTTCTAATGCCAACATTACTACTGTTTTACAAAAACTGATCAGGTGACTAAGGGAGGACGCATGCGCTGTATACTGATGAATATATACTCAAGTAAACAGTGGTTATTTTTACTTTAATTCCGATTTGAAAAATATTGATGTCTTCCATTTATAAATTTGGTAAGGCATAGGTAATAATAAAGTATAAATGATTATATAATGCAATTGATTGATGCCTCGTTAATGGCAGTGAACCAACACGCTCTTGTCGTTGAGTGAGTGAGTTGGGTTTAACGCCGCTTTTAACAGTATTCCAGTTATATCACGGCGTGTCAGCTTAATGTGGGAGGAAAGCCCGAAGTGATGCAGGTCTCGGACGTTTACCACTTCGGTGAAACCCACGAGCACGGGTATGGAGCTGACAAACCTAGAAACATAATCCGGGCGAACCGGAATTCGAACCCACAATCATAGGTTTCTGGCGTGCCCAAAGGACGCAATTCTGCACAGCGATTCGCGGCGCCTTAGACGACTCTTGTCGTTGAAAAGCAGCTGACACAGAAAGGAGTGTGAGATCCCGTTAAACCCTATGCTGGACACCCACTCCTCAAACAACACCACGGGTCTCACACCTGCAGTCCGCAACACATCATGTACACATTAATTATATTATTTCTAAATCTTGTTAATCGTTATCGGAGTGTTTGAGGAAGAAACTGAAGACTGGGAAGTATTTACGTTATTGAATAATTATTGATATTTGATGTTTTTATTTCTGGAAAATCTATTCTGAAACACTGGAGGTCTGTTCTACAAAGGAATTGCTCTGGTCTAATTGGCCGTTAGTTTTTTATGTATCCTGAACAAAAACAGTTGGGGATCATGAATATTTTTTGAGAATTGTTTTGTAGTGAAGACTGGGCATACAATTTCATAAAAATATCCCAAAAAATATTCACGATCCCTAACTTGTTTTGTTAATATATAATGCACACATGCAATGTCATTGCTTGGTAACTTGGTGGTCATCATGCTTGTTTGGATTGCTACGAGGCACAAGTATGTGAAGTTAACCATGGTCAGTTTACTTTGATAACAACACAATTTGAAATTCTCTTGATTATGTGAAAATAAAGCAAAGCCAGGGTCAGTTCCTGTTAGATCAAATCAAATTTATTTCAGCATAAGAAAGGTTCAGTTTTGCCCTACATTATAAGTAATGCAGTGAGTGAGTATGGTTTTACGCCGCGTTAAGCAATATTCCAGCAATATCACGGCGGGGGACACAAGAAATTGGCTTCACACACTATACCCATGTCGGGAATCGAACCCGGGTCTATTGCGTGACGAGCGAACGTTTCAACCACTGGGCTACCCGACCGCCCCTATAAGTAATGCAACTATACAGTTCTCACCTATAGGATTTTATTCTTTTTATCTGTTTAGTTTGTTTTTTATTGAATCTGTGCCATTTCCTGTGCTGGTTTACTGTTTGTGGTTTTAACATATGCAAAATTTGTTCTCGGTGCTGTATTGCTGAAATTTTGCGATGCGACGTTAAATATCAACTCACACATTTGCATTGGCCATACTCTATTTCTTCCTCTCTTCTTTCTCTCTCGTACACACATGCACACCTCATTCCGTGAATACCAGAATTGCTGTTCCTTACATACGATACGATAATGTAAGGGTAGCTGATTGTGGTAGAGTGTCGTAATGTCTGTGCAGAGTTGTGTCCCTTTGTTATACCAGGGTTTGCTGATCGTAGGTTCGAATTCAAGACCTCCATCACTTTACGGACTTTGCTCCCACATTCAGCTGACATGCATTGATATACCTGAGTTATTGTTCAAAGCTCCGATACACTCACTCATTCACTCACTCACTCACTCACTCACTCACTCACTCACTCACTCACTCAGTGTTTATGAAGAGAGAAAGCATGCCTACCATTAACGGTGCATAGCAGGTGGCGAATACAAGTATTATTCCAGCCAAGAGAACCATCATTTGAGCTTCGTTATCCAGCTGTCCAGATTGGCTGTACTTGTGGCTCATGTTTAGCTTCCTCCTCATCCGAGCCAGAACACACATGACAGATGCGTTACACAGCGCAGTCATAGAAATCACGACAAGCCCCACACTGGCGTAGAAATACGTGAACACCTTGTCCGTTAGTTTGTCTCCAGTCACGTCAAAGAAGCACCAAGTTCCTGGGTACTGAAGCACGTTCGTCCCAAGACCCACCAGAGGCAAACACGACACGATGAATGCAAACAACCACACACCGACTAAAATGTATATCACTTTTCCCGAAGAAAATTTGGCTTCGTAGGCGTAAGGATGTATAATGGCCACGTACCTCTCCACAGCCATCGCACCGACAATTAACACTGTAGCCATCCCTGCAAATATCATCATGAAGGAGAAGTAGTTACACAATGGTTGTCCTCCAAGCCATCTCCGGCCGTTGTTGTACACCATGATGGTGACAGGTGACACGGCAGCCGTCCCGAACAGATCTGTACAAGCCAAACCTCCAACCAGTCTATAAAACACTGTTCGTTTGTGATCCTTCCTTGAACGATATAAAACAAAAAGTGCCAATAAGTTCCCGAAGACGCCGCTAGCAAACATTATGGCCGGTACAGCAACGACTAACAAAGGCTGGGTCTGTTTTGTTGGTGGACTCGAACTATTGCTGCTATCACTGCTTTGATTAAAGTCAGATGTATAACCGATCGAGTAAAGCTCATCTGATACCGAGCTGTTATCCATTTTGAAGTAAAATGCAAGGGTTGATTCCATACAATCTGTTCCGAGGCTGCGAATCGGAAGTTTTGTTTAAAAGGTTTTGAAAGAAAATAAACTATTCATTTGAAAAAACAATCCAGAACGGAAATCCTTCATGAAACCGTCAACAAGTTTATCCCGTAAGGGTAAAGCCGTTACGTATTTTGAAGTTACACTTACATTGCGAACATCACAGAAGTCTGAAGGCTTTAGCTTTAGACATCATTTCGATTGCACGTGCAAGAATTTTTTACTTTCCGACACCTTCAGTGTATCACGTGAAGTCAGAGTGAACTGTTGGTACACTTCCTTGGATCTCTCGTGCCACCTGACTTTCCCTCCTTGAACCTCCGTAGACTCCCAACAGAATCGCTCATCAAGCATCAAGTATTGAAAGCTGTGTTCCATGTAAACATACGCGCATATTCCACATTCGCTTTACCTCACCAAGGCGTTTCCCGCTGTATTGTACCGCTTCTTATCCCAGTAGACACAATTGAAATGTTAGGACAAAACACATCCTGAAGGCGAATTGCGAAGTTGACGCTGTTTTCTCATAATATATAATGTTAATTTGGCATAACTGTGAGATGTCAGGTCCTATGTTGAATTAGAGGACCATTTCCTCCACAACTGGTTCCCTACGTGCCCAGTGTGTTCATATGAACAGCCTTATATAGCGGCAACTTCTCCAACTAAGTGTCCAATACTCTCTGGCTCAGTACAGTTAATAACCGGACTGTTTAAAGCTCCCCTTGCGATTAGGAAACAAATTCCAAATGAGTGGGATTTCCCTGTGCAAACAAGAGAGCTTGGACGTAAAAAGTCGGAGCGTAACATTTAGCGGTTCCTAGACTGAATGAAAAACACCATCGACTGGTTATAAAGGGTCGAGCGTGAGTACAGTCCGTGATGCTTGTCCGATTGATTTGTGAAACGTGCCTGAGCGCCAGTTACAATTCGGCAAGTTTAGACTTGATAGACCCATAGCAAATTGCAATCCTTAAAAGTCTTCGAAAGTTAAACAATTCAAATTTCAAAAGTTCAAATCTTCGATTTTCATTTTTCGAAACTTTATGTCTGGAAGAATGAACGAAGTTATCAAATTAATTAATTAATTAATCCTAAAGGTGATTATCAATGCAATAGATACTTTCTTTTCAAGCTTTTTTGTTTGTTTTTTTGTTGTTTAACGCCGCACTTAGCAATATTCCAACTATATGACGGCGGTCTGTAAATAATCGAGTCTGCACCAGACAATCATGAGCATCGATCCACAGAATAGGGATACGATGACATGCATCAACCAAGTCAGCGAGCCTGATCACTCGATCCCGTTAGTCGCCTCTTACGACAATGTCAAGCATTGTCGCCTTTTTACGGCAAGCATGTGTTGCTGAAGACCTATTCTACCCCGGATCTTTACGGGATTCGAACTTTTCAGCTTTCCCGATGTAATGACTACGAGAAATAATGACATATTGTAATTTTACTTCTTCAGCTTGTAATCCGTTACGTTTATGTAACTTCATGCAGCCCCCAGGTCAATGAAGGACAGACAGACAGACAGACCAATCTTATTAATATCAGATCTTATTTCTCGCTACCGCTAAACAAACGACTTTTCATCAGACCAGGGGATCAATCAAAGCGGCGCTTACCAGATCATTAAAGTGACAGTCGGAATGTGTTTTGTCATCATCCAACCTCGAAAATGTTAACACGGGGTATTCCGAACTACAGTTACGGCCCGTACGACTGATTCCGTCAAAATTATCGTCTATTTCTCGCTTCCGCGGGATAAACATTTGGACGGAGGAGGCACGTGCACAGTACGTGGTATTCACTGCCGTACAATCTCAACCATATATTAGATATTCAAGAATATTCGTTTGTTCAGTTTTCAAAATTTTAATCGAGAACTGTGTCAAGATATCTTTCAAGCGTAGTCTGCAATGGAAGTCGCCAGGTTGAAACGAATGCCGTAAAGCTCGAGAAAGCTGCTTTCTAATTGGCTGATGTCGACTTCTTGTTAGCCATTTCAGTGGTCAGTCAAAGTTCGCGAAAGGTCGTTCTGACGTGACCTGTAATGGGATTTCCTCAAATCTGTGTTTAGCGGCAGCGAGAACTTAGTTCTGATTTTAACGAGATTGACAGACAGTCATACATTTTATTCAGTTGTAACAGCCAAATGGTCCATGCTGCAAAGCAAATGTAAGAATAAACGGAATACATGTTTCAGAAACAAATCCAGAGAGTGACTGTGGTTACCATTCTTTGAATTTAGTACATAGATCATTGTCTGTTGTCATCTGTGCATCTGTACAAGATGGGGTAAACATTTAGATCATTAGTGTGAAAACCTAGTACAAAAAACAACACATAGACATCCCAGTTGTTACATATAACAGCTAGCCTCTCAACATGATTTAATTTCCGGATATTAAGGTTATGAAGAAAAATTCTAAATTTGCAAGGTCTAACCGCTCTTGTGTGTTCTAGCAGTAGGACCTTCTACAGTTCTAAATGTCAGGTGAATCTTCAATGAAACCCTCATTCCAGTTCAAACAAACCTCACCCACTCATCATTTCCTTAATGTCTATATGACACCGTAGCTACATATGTTTTCCAAGCACCTAAGAACAAGACACTTTTCAGTTAATATATTCTGATACTCCTACAAACTGTATTTCGTTTACATTAATATGTATATTGTGATAAAAGTATACTATTTTATCTTAAAATATAAAAACGATGTTTATCTCGAGTGAATTGAGTATTATGCTAAATGTAGAAGCTACATTTTTTCTCCCTCAATGACACTGTGGTTCTAAGAACATTACTAAATAGAACGTTACGTTATTATTACAGTAAACTATAGTTATAACGAACTCAAAGGGACCTCTTATTTTAGTTCGTTATAACTGTAGTTCGTTCTAAGCATATATACAGCATATATTCATCAGATGGCTGGGACTAATGTATTTGTAAACACATCTTCGGTATCTCAAGGTGACGTGTCTTGCAGTTGCATCGTTCGCTGAACACCTTGTCAAATTCAAAACTAACTCAATACATTCTTTTCGCGAACATTGTGTCATTTCATATTTTCAGTGATCCATTCATCCATATATATATATATCACGAGGTATGTATTTATGTATATGTGTCTATGGATGTATGTATATGTGCGGTGTATGTTAAGTATGAGTACGCGCCTCCGTGTGGCTGAAAAGTAGCTTCACGTAGTAATATAGGTATGTGTCCGTGTGCTATATTTTTTATTCTGTTTCAACTGAATAGTTTATGATTGATACGTTTTATAGTGTCTCGTAGGCCATATTTCGCCGGATGTTATATTTTACTGTTTTGTATATATCTTATCACGAAGTGTATATAACATGTGACACTCTAATAAACAATATTCTCTTTCTCTCTCTACATGTATATATATTTTTCACCGCTGTTTTGCCTTTTACACCAATGGCATCTGTTTCGGCAGATGACCGAGATTGATTATTCTCTGGCAATGACGTTTTATATGTCACATGATACCCCATTTCATATGTAGAGAAACCAATATGTACTGTACACCACCTAATACACTGTGATCGTGCAGCATGTGCTATACGGGTTGTATATTTCGATATAGCAGGTATCATTCTGGCCATTGTTGACCAGTCGCTCTCCAACAGTAGCCTTATTCAAATTGCGATTGGCCCTGAGAAAACAGTAAGAGTATCCACGACTCAAACACTCTGGAACATATCCATGTAAATTAATTAGCTCCCACCAAGGATTGATCCTCAGGCTCAGCTTCTGTTCTTTGTTAATTGAATATTCCGAAGGAATTGACCAGATCCTCCGAACGTGCGACCTCAAAGCTCAATGTCTGTTGTGACGTAATGCAAAACTGCCCCAAGTTCTACAATTACAACTTTCCCTGCTTACTTAGTTGAATTAGTTGGAATCTGATGCCATTGTAGCAAGTTTCAGGGGCTTCTGTGATGGGGGCTGATTTCCGGGGGAGATTAACTACATATGGAAGCAATTGTTGTGTTTACCCCGCTTCCAATAAATCGCGGTCTTAAGTATCAATTGTGAAACTCATGAAACCACGTGTTACCCTTTAATCTTTATTCGTTTGTTTTTATATTTGAGACTTGTTCAAACGTTTGTTCATGTGTTATTTGAAGTTACATTCAACAGTTCAGGATTTCTGCCGCCTGTTTCTTCAACAAGTTTGACATTTCGGATGACAAAGTCACGAATTAATATCCTGCTTGAACGTGGCCATATGTTCAGGGGTTTACATTCCAGGAGGTTCAAATTGGTGAACATTAAGATAAAAGTCAAAGAAACTAGTTTTTTTTGGAAATTCACATGATGTTGTCACGAATTAATTTCATCCATGAACATGACCAAATTTTTCACTGAAACTGCTCCAGACCATACGGGCTGCGAAGCGATGAGCAAGATGATTAAACATGCTACATGATTAAAATGATGCCTTCACCAGAGATAACATTACTGTTCTTATGCAAATCGCATACAAATAGTTACTGAATGTCGTTTGGTATTGTAAACATGTCTTCATAGGCTCGTGAAATATGAATAAAGGGCTATGGACTGAAAGGGGAAAGAAGGAACATATTGTCGATATTGATTATTCTGTTTTTTCTTTGACCACGCTTGATTCTATAGAGGAGTACTCACGACGACGTGAATATTCATGCATGTTCACGTTTTAGAAAACCTATACTAACTCTTTAATAACTTTAGCCAAAGTTCCATATCCGACCGTTGTTAAATGAAGCACAAGTTCTGTGCCCAATAATGTAGTTTCAGTTCTGACCGTATCTGACATTGATAGTAGAAATATATTACACTTTGGGGCGGTAGAGTAACCTTTTGGTTAAAGCGTTAGCTCGTCACGCCGAAGACCCGGGTTCGATTCCCGACATGGGTACAATGTGTGAAGCCCATTTCTGGTGTCCCCCGCCGTCATATTGCTGGAATATTGCTAAAAGCGGCGTAAAACCATACTCACTCACTCACTCACTATATTACACTTTATCGACAGGGGTCACGGGAGGCATAGTCATCTGAGGCGCCGCAATTTGGTCTTAAGAGCTACGCCCCTTTAGCGTGCCATAAACCTATCATCGAAGGTTCGAATCCCAGATTTGCCCTGATAATGTTTCTAGGTTTGTCAGCACCAGACCTGTGCTCGTGGGTTTCACGAAGGTGGTAAACGTCGCCTACATTAAGCTGACACGTTGTGATAAAACTTAAATACTCTTCAAAGTGTCTGTAAACACACTCATTTTGTCAACAATATCAATACCATTTGACATGTATTTATCGTTAGCTGGTCGTGGAATATTGTTAACTACAGCGTAAAAAACATGCATTCACATTATTTAGACAGCTGATGAAGTTATTCAACGCTGACACGGGGAATGTTGGCACTTTCGTGAGGCTACATATTATTTCAATGTTTTTTCCCTGAATAAAACATAGGAGAATTGACGTGCACATGCAAATATGGGTGCTACGGGTAGGCATAGGTATGTTCCACAGTTCGGCGACCACCTTGTGTCATCACAGCTACTGCAGTGTGTGAGGAGACAGAGAGATCATTTAACGAGTACCATGTTGATACAGTTTTTATTCTAACCAGTGTAATTCAAAACGTATCTAACGAGCGAAACGTACGTGAGGTACGTGACTGTGGACTGGGCGGATCCTGCTGCTCGGGATGTTATTGGTAGATGGATTCTGCTGCTCGGCATGCTGAGGGTGGATGGATTCTGCTGCTCGTCATGCT